CATTTTTTGAAACTACAATTAAAATAAATCAATTTAATTTTATGTTTATATCAAATTTATATTAATATAAATTGACTTATGCTCCTGTTTATTATACGATGTCCCTTTAAAAATTCTATTGTATTAGCTATGACTTTCACATGCATTAGTCTTCTAGAAAAAAAAAATTTTTTGTTTTCACGAATCGTTTTCACTACAAAATGTAACGAAACATAATTTATTATCGATTTGTTACAGTGTAGGACAAGAATAAACAGAAATAACGAATATGCTAGTATGTCAAGTATAGTGATATTTTGCAATCTCTCTCTATCAGTAATTTCCATTAGTTACAAAGAAAAGACATTAAAAATGATTTATTAACAAGATAAATCATTAACTTTAAAGTACCGAAAAGACCATTCAGATGACCCAAGGCTTTCACATTTGGAAACTGTAGCATTGTGATAGTTCTGTATTTGGTACATACCTCTAGTTTGCAAATTCTTTCTTTTTCGTGCTCTAGTTTAAATGACACTCATTTTTCTTTCGAAAGTTTTTTTCCGGAGGACATTGTATGTGAAGATGACATTTTTGCAAAAGATAAATGATCTCTATCGTATCTCTACCTAACGTATAGATGTCGCCCATATGTTTTATTATTGTTGAACTAGATCCTAGAGAATAGTCAATGTAAATTGTGACTTAATTAACAATAATACTTGATACATGAAAGTTTAATATTTAAATAATTTAAGACAATAAATACAGTAAAATATACATCTAGCTTTTAATATCATATATGTAAATATGAATAAAGCACGACAAATTGCAAAAAGATCCTTAAAAGAGAGAAGGTATTCAAAAATAAAATCCTGAGTATAATGATTGAAATTACTCCAAATTATAATAAGCTACAAATAATAAGTTAGAAACAAGTTACAGAAATCAATTCTAGAGATCCTATATAAGCCACACATTAGCATCCGTTTTATTGTTCTTTACATAGATCTGTGCAGAAATATCCCGTAACCCACAACGAATACCAAGAGCCGCTACCGGTCTTACTAAAGAGAAGCTTACAGCAATAAAAATGACAAAACACTTAGGAAAATATTTACGACCTGTTATATTTTATCGTAAACGAGATAAAAAGGTTGCTCGCTCAATGAATTATCTATACCCTTTGGTTTTGAGCGAAGTTTTTTCGTACGCTATCGGTGGTTAGCACAAAAATTGACCACACACACGCACATTTTTCGACTTCAGATTTATAAATTTGCAAATATTGGACCTGTAATTTCTATTATATTCATCCTTACTTTCAAAGGAGGCGATCGCGTAACATTAATCGTGTTAGTACTACTATAAAAAATGTACACAGGAAAAGAACAAACTGAACGTACACAGAGATCTGTCTTTATTAATCTTTTCGTTCAATTATTTATTAATCCGGAGGTTAATAAATTAAATATATCAGATTAAAAGACATATTTCTACGCTTTTAAGGTAAAATCCTTTGTTAAATGATTTATTCAAAGAGCTGTCAGTTATAAATTGGTGAATTCTTTTCCGCCATTCGACAAAGAGTTAAAAAGCTTTAACTGTAACAGCCAGGTGATCTCGAAAGTCTTTTTCTGGCAGTTTCAACCGCCCCACTGCGATATACAATAAAACTGCTGCATTATTCGATATGTCGCCGCCGGAGAATCCCGCGCGGCAGCCACGTTGAACTGCGGTTGTCGTTGCTTCGGCGACAAGCTATGGAGACGTCTAGGACATTATGCGCACGGTGAAATCGTAAAGGGACGATTTTACGAATGTTCGGGATCTTCCTCGTGTCCCGGCAGCCGTTGGCTATCCACTATTCTCACCATTTTAAGATGCATCCGGATGAAAGTGACATGTAGCACGTAAAAAACGCAGAAATACATGAGCAAAGTGTATGTTGTATTTATTGTTGATCGGGTAAAAATTTCGTTATGTTCATTCCCTGCAATCTTATTCCCACGAGAAAGATTTTTAGATACTTTAGATACTTAACTCGATAATGTAACAACCTACATATTAATGAAATAATTTAAAAACTTAACTTCATTATAATATTTGAAAATATTTTTATTGCAATTAAAAATGAAAAATAAAGCAGGAAATATGTTATAGTAACTTTTGTATAAACTGCGAGCGTTGTCTTTCGACAATTAATTTACATTACTTTTTATTATTATGCTATTGTCGTATTACGTAGATTTATCTCAATTAGGAAAGTTTTCACTTTTTCGAAAGATATTTTTGAGAAAGACCTTGTTCCAAATAATTGGCTAAATTATTTGGATAAATTCCGTGTAATGAGATTACATACTAATTGAACAGTTAGAAAGATTCAAATATGTGGCTTAACAAAAAAAAAGTTAATCCGGATGCATCTTACGAAGGCGCGGCAGATCGCTGTCCTTCGCGTTTCGTTGGGATGGCGAACGGCCTGCCTTGAACCGGGTCCACGGAATCCAGAACTAAAGGGAAATACCCACGGACCCGAGACACGACGTAATTCTTTAATTGCTTCGGCTAATTGGCCCCGAGTGGCGCCACAACGCCACGGAATATCACCGATGACAATTATTCCGCGGGAAGCGGACGGCCCGTAAATTGCCGATGTTTTTATTCCTCTGTTAATCGCGCGCGCGACTCCACTCTTCACCTCTCCTGTCCTACTCCTTTCTCTCTCGTTTCCCGCGAGAATCGTCAATTCGAATTCGGACGAGGCTTTCGTGCGAGCGGCGATGACAAAGGGAAACCTTTAACGACGCCGTGCGAATCCGGATGCTTGTCTAATTGTAAGCCTATTGGCATAGGTAAAAAAGACGCGGAGATGATTGTACGTCTCGCGAATACTTTGCAATCTTAACGAAAATTTATGCGCGGAAAGCTTCTGATTTTATATCATGTACGAGATATACGAGAAACGTAAGGCATGCACATGTATGTTTTTTGAAGACGTCACAAGACAGTAGTAATATAAATATACCTATTAGAATGTGTACAGAATTTTACACATGAACGTTTAATGCTCCTTAGATTGGATAAGGAGTCCGCGATATTAATGAAATGACATAATTCAAGTTAATTATTACAAGCCACGTGAAATATACGAAGCTGTCCGTCGGCTGCGGAATTACGCACGCGTAATTCATCCGTATGTACCGTAAACACAAAGCATAATACTTTATAGATAACGTTAATCCTAAAGGTTTTGCGCTCTTGCCATCTTAATTCTATGACGGTATTTGTAGTTTATACTCTGACAAATCAAATCTTTAAACGTTGAGTAACCGAATATTTCTTGCTTCAAGCCCCCCGTAAAATAATTTTATTCAAATTTTTTATGTTCGTTTAATAACTGTCTTCTAAAGAATCTTATATATTATTTTATTTAAAAAACATCACGAAAAAAACATTTGAATTTTTCGTAAAGTAAAGATTAAATACATGTATTTCAAAAAATATGCAATAATTTTCTAAATCTTAAATGCCACGTAGTGATTAAAACCCAAACTTCGCGAAGCAAAACTTAACTTTGGAATTGGAGCGGTATTTTGAAATTATGTTGCTGTTTGCGGCGCGGATCTTGCGAAAGATTCTGTAATTAGCTTACGTATTAGACCGTAGGCTTGTAGGCGTCTTCGAGTCTTACTTCTCGGCGCGCAAATGATTTATGCACAAGCGATATGAGCGACATATACGATTCCGTTGCGGCCGAGGGAGAGTACATCGACGACGAGGTCTCTCTAGCTCGTCTCTGACAGTTCAACGAGCAAGGAACATCTATAATGACAAACCGCTTTGGTCTCTCGCGAGCGAACGGACACTGGGCGGTTCAGGGCCGTGGCCAATGTTATAAATGCACCGTCGAAAAAAAGCGGCACGTACCGCTTAGGGATCTATCGATAGATACGATATCCTCGACGCGCGCACGAACGTGACCGCGGCAAAGATCGATTTGTATCGAGGGGGCTCGAGAGAGGGCGAGATGGATGGGCCGGGCCTCGAAATCTATTAGTCATCACCCACACGATACCGAGACTCTCTCTCGTTCTCTCTTTCTCTCTTGTCGGTGCGGACAGGTAACTCGAATCGATGGCATTGTATCTCGCCAATCATGATGCACTTTTTCCGAATGGAACGTTGATATAGGTTCATGGAGAATTACGATCCAATGGGATTCAGGATGATAAACAAAACGAGCGAGCGCATACGGGTATCACGCGCGTAACAGCTTCAATTATGCTAATCGCAATTCCGATTGATCCACGTGATCGCAAGGATCGTGCTTTATATTGCGAATGTAAGGCTGACCTAAATCTGTAATGCGTGCTCCAGTTTTTATCTTACTCAAGGACAAATACAAGATTGACTAGCATAATTTATATCGCAAAGGATATTTTAAAATAACATTAAATCTTTACGTATTCCCTATAAAAATTTGAAAATAAAACTTTCAGAATATCAGCGCGAATGTGACGTCTCAAGTTTTGTCATGCATGTGAAATTTTAATTATATAATATACGTAACTCGTGCAGAATTATTTTCAATCTGTAACACGGCAGTAGTTCGCAAATAACGAACACGCGGCGCAGACGTGAATCAATTGCTGGTCGTCATCAAAAACGGCTAATATACATACACACATACAAACACATTAGCTTGATTACGTTAGTTATTCCGAAACGTAGGACGAACACGATAAAGGGGCCTAAGCCGCTCTCGTCAAAGTTGCTCACTTCCCGCCACTCGGGACCACTCCGAGTCCATTCACTCAATTCATTTTC